AGATCGATGCTCATGCTGTTGATCACTGGATTGTCTGGTCCAGACTCGATTATTTACAGACCGCCGCCATATAGCTGGAATATTGCTGAGTGCGGCGTAAAACTAAACTCACTCACCCACTCAACATTGTATACCACTATCCCACATAACAAACCTAAGGAAAAACTTCATTCCTTTAATCATGGGGCTTTTGTAAAAAACGTGGTGAACAAAGATATACGTACATATCTATCTTAAGAGGTTCGGGACAATTTGTCAAAATGAAAGCATATGTCATTTGAAGTTTACCGAGAAAACAATATGTGAAATGCTGGACTTTCTCATTGATAACATTCAAGGAGAGTCATGTCACTCTCTTCAGAAGTTGATTGATCAAGGTTACAAGATTCAAGGCCCCAGTAAATCTTTCAAGATGTTTTATGGTAGACATGTGGAGGAAATATCCAAATTTGATGCATCAGTAACAAATATGATGTCCGATGCAATTCCCTATTTTGACTTATACCATACGTTCCCGGGTTATTTCAGGGAAACAAGTGACTGGTATATGTTTATGACGGGTGCCATCGGTGGGGCAAAATACGCTCACCTTTTCGCGAACACCTGGTATCATCACTATTTCATAGTGATTCATAAACATATGCTCTGTCGTCGTATCGCATGGTGACAATCACTGGATTGTCTGGTTCAGACCCTATTTGTTTACTAACAACATCATACAGCTGTAATACTGCTGAAACAAATATCTGTTCATAATATAGTCACAATTGTACAATCGACTCTGCTGTTGGCAGACATTTCTTATGAATGTGGAAAGGTTTTGTCGCTTCTGGACGTAAATTCCTGGAGTAGAGTAGTAAGGAGCCCTAATGTTACAGTCCAGCGCGGCGAAAGGGAAGCTCGCCATTGTAGATTAACCAAACACGGTTGCATTATCAGGCAATGAAAGTGTAACCGAAAATGATGATCACGGATGTCAGGACTAGCAGCTATTGTATCAGCTATCAGTAAGTCTAATGCTTTTAAATTGAAACCAGTACCTTCTGATACCTCAAAGAGGTTAATTAAAACAAACAACCTTTCTGGTACTGTGACAGTATATATTGTTATGTTTCAGTGTTATTCATTGTGATACAATGTTCCGTAATGGAATACTTACAGCGCTTCCTTGATGCAGAGAACATTATATACTCACCAACATTGAAAACGCACCAGTCTAAAATTGTCCATATTATCATCAAGATGGATTTCAGCATGACAATAATCAATGAACATGTCTAACATGATGTCGAAGGGCATGTCTAGTTGAAAAAATGCTTTAGAAACAAATTCCTGTTCCCAAACGCATCAACATGCAGCCACGCAATGAAAAAAGCGCGAATTTCATTATAAAATCATGCTGACATTAAAAGCAGGTGTATGAGAACCGATTCTCATTGCTTCACTAACGATTGTAAAGCGAGGACAGAGATGCCGAGGTTAACACCTCACGAAAGAGAACGTGCACTAGGCAAGATTCAGGTTGGCACCAGCAGCAGGGATATTGCTCGACAATTTGGACTTGGCCACTCCACCATCATTAGGCTTCATAGACGACATCAGCAGACAGGCAGCACCCGTGACCTTCAACGACCTTGCCAACAACGTGTCACGACGCACCGTCAGGATCGCCATATTGACCTTGACCATATCCGTGATCGAACACTGCTGCACTAGTTCAAGGTCGACGTGGGGTCATCAGCGTTGACACTATGCGACGCCGTCTACACGCCTAGGGCTCGATGCTCGACGTCCTTACGTTGGACCACTTCTGACTGACACACACCGTAATGAGCGTATACAATGGGCTAACAGGAAGGTTACAACAAGGGCATGGTGTGGTAGTCACTGACAAGTCACGTCTTCATCGACGTAATACTGACGGCCGATTACGTGTTTGGCGTAGACGTGGTGAACGTTATGCTGATGAGTGTGTGGTTCAGACAGACCTTTGGGTGGTGGGAGTGTCAAAATCTGGGGTGGAATAAGTTACAATCACAGGACTACCTTCATGTCTTTCAAGGGTGAGTTAATGCCCTTTACTACCGTGATCAGATTCTTCAGAATCACATTGTATCATTCTTCAATCACCACCAAGATGTCCATACTTTTCAACAGGACAACGCATGGGCACACACAGCTAGACTTTCCATGCAGTATCTGGCCCAGCAACACACCCAGGTTACTCATTGACCAGCACTGTCGCCAGATGTATCCCCCATTGAGCACTTGTGGGACGAAATTGGTCAAAGTCTTTCGCGGCGACAACAGGTGCGAAACATCCGGGAAGTTGAGGCTGCACTACTGCATGGGGCCCTATAGATCACGTAATAGGAGTAAGTTGCGAGAGAGCATTCACTGACCACGGGGCATGTAGATCACGTAATAGGAGTAAGTTGCGAGAGAGCATTCACTGACCACTTTGCATCTAGATCACGTAATAGGAGTAAGTTGCGAGAGACCATTCACTGACCACTTTGCATCTAGATCACGTAATAGGAGTAAGTTGCAAGAGACCATTCACTGACCACGGGGCATGTAGATCACATAATAGGAGTAAGTTGCAAGAGACCATTCACTGACGACGGGGCATGTAGATCACGTAATAGGAGTAAGTTGCAAGAGACCATTGACTGACCACGGGGCATGTAGATCACGTAATAGGAGTAAGTTGCGAGAGAGCATTCACTGACCACTTGGCATGTAGATCACGTAATAGGAGTAAGTTGCAAGAGAGCATTCACTGACCACGGGGCATGTAGATCACTTAATAAGGGTAAGTTGCGAGAGAGCATTCACTGACCACGGGGCATGTAGATCACGTAATAGGAGTAAGTTGTGAGAGAGCATTCACTGACCACGGGGCATGTAGATCACGTAATAGGAGTAAGTTCACATTCACTGACCACGGGGCATGTAGATCACGTAATAGGAGTGTAAGTGTGATCACTTAATAAGGGTGTGAGAGACATTCACTGACCACTGGGGCATGTAGATCACGTAATAGGAGTAAGTTGCGAGAGAGCATTCACTGACCACGGGGCATGTAGATCACGTAATAGGAGTAAGTTGCGAGAGAGCATTCACTGACCACGGGGCATGTAGATCACGTAATAGGAGTAAGTTGCGAGACCATTCACTGACCACGGGGCATGTAGATCACTTAATAGGGGTAAGTTGCGAGAGACCATTGACTGACCACGGGGCATGTAGATCACGTAATAGGAGTAAGTTGCGAGAGAGCATTCACTGACCACGGGGCATGTAGATCACTTAATAGGGGTACGTTGCGAGAACGCATTCACTGACCACTTGGCGTCTAGATCACGTAACAGATATCAAATCTGTTTGAACTAACGAGCATATTATTAATGCATTAGAGAAAAGGATAATGGCGTACCCCATCTATTGGTGTTATATGATGTTGCCCTGGAGACACATGTATGCCATCGTATCTATAGTGCAAAGACAAATCTGTGGCACTCCACATATAACAGCAGTAATTTCAGCTTCAGGAGAGACCATTACTGTGAGTGTTTACACAGAGTTCCTCCAGTGCCAGCTGTTTATAGGCTCCACCTCAGTAACCACAGGCACACTCTCATTTCCGTCGAACAGACTTGGGGGAAATCAATAATTCTTTTTACCGTCTTTAACATCCAGGAATCCATTATTTATCATAACATCACCATTGGGCATATATTTCAACCGACAGCACTCGATAAATAACAGTTGACATCCGTTGCGTGATAGAATACAATCACACAGTGAATCACTTGGGCCCATTCAGCTCGCACATGTACAGTAATGGCCATTTACCTGGCAACGACAGGCTACATTGTGGATGTGTCGCAGATGTGTTGCCTTGTAAACAAGTGGAAGTAGTGGTACTGTCAGGGAGTTACAACATTCAAGAGTGACTTGCTACCAGCCGTGTCTTAGCGTACCGGGAACATGTCCAGTAATGAAACAGCCCCTACCTCCGGTGAAATTGTCTTTTGGGCCCTTAATGGGTATGGTGTTACACGTTTTGATCTCATTATCAACATTGTTATCCTCCTGCTGGCTGTATGGATAATCTTCCTCAACATCCTTGTCTTGCACACTATACTACGGATGAAGATGTCACGGGAACCCGCCGATGTATTTGTATGTAGTTTATCTGTAGCAGACGCCTTGGGCGGCTTCTTTCTGTTGTACAACACCACCTACAACCTCATCAACTACCAGTTGTACTACGAATGTGCTTTCAGAATGGGACTTGTCCAAATTTTGGGTTTGACATCGGTGTACCACATGGCGGCCCTTACTGTAGACAGATACGTGAAGATCGCCCAGCCCTATCATTACCCGACTGTCTGCAATAGAATGTCCGTGTTGGTTGTATCTGTAGCTATCTGGTCCATCTCCACAGTTATAGGACTAATTCCAATGTTTGGCTGGAAGAATGAACAGGAGAGTGGAACTGTTGGTATCGAGGAGCCCATATGTGGATATTTTGCAATATTTAACCAGACCTATCTCCAGTTGGTCGTCACCCTGTTTTGGTGCCCTATGCTTCTGATGATCGGACTTTATCTTCATATCTTCAAGATTGCGAGTAGACACGCTCGGGTCATTGCAGCTCAAAACAGGCGTGGACCGACATTGAGGTCTTCAGAGAGACATTCTCTGAAATATACGAAAACTGTGTGTCTCATCGTCGGATGTTACTTCCTGTCCTGGTTGCCAAGTGGTACGAGCACTAACACACCTTTTAATGATATAGTTCTTTACCATACACCATTGTGTCTTAAGGCCTGTTGTGGTAGATTGGATCTGTCATATACTTAGAAAGTCACGTGTCCGATCTATTCACATACCATACAAAACAACAGTTCAAAGGTTATGTGTCCATCTCCACAAGGGGGTCTCTTCATGACAGTGTATTTCATTACAGATAAAATGTCAACCTGATGGATCTATGTGCTTGTTAGGAGCGGGAGGTGCGGTGAGGGATGGATCGTGGGTGTGGTGCGGTGAGCCATTGATCGTGGGTGTTGTGCGGTGAGGAATGGTTCGCGGGGGTGGTGCGGTGCGGTGAGGGATGGATCGTTGGTGCGGTGCGGTGCGGTGCGGTGCGTGCGGTGCGGTGCAGTGCAGTGCGGTGCGGTGCGGTGCAGTGATGGATCGTGGGATGGATCGTGGTGCGCGGTGAGGAATGGTTCGCGGGGGTGGTGCGGTGCGGTGAGGGATGGATCGTTGGTGCGGTGAGGGTGCGGTGCGTTGCGGGATGGATCGTGGGTGTGGTGCGGTGAGGAATGGTTCGCGGGGGTGGTGCGGTGAGCCATGGATCGTGGGTACGGTGAGGTGTGGTGAAGGAAGGATCGTTGGTGCGGTGCGGTGCGATGCGGTGCGGTGCGGGATGGATCGTGGGTGTGGTGCGGTGAGGAAAGGTTCGCGGGGGTGGTGCGGTGAGCTATGGATCGTGGGTGTGGTGCGGTGCGGGATGGATCGTTGGTGCGGTGCGATGAGCCATGGATAGTGGGTGTGGTGCGGTGAGGGATGGATCGTTGGTGCGGTGCGGTGAAGAATGGATAGTGGGTGTGGTGCGGTGAGCCATGGATAGTGGGTGTGGTGCGTTGTGGGATGGATCGTTGGTGCGGTGCGATGAGCCATGGATAGTGGGTGTGGTGCGGTGTGGGATGGATCGTTGGTGCGTTGCGGTGAAGAATGGATAGTGGGTGTGGTGCGGTGTGGGATGGATCGTTGGTGCGGTGCGGTGAAGAATGGATAGTGGGTGTGGTGCGGTGTGGGATGGATCGTTGGTACGGTGCGGTGAAGAATGGATAGTGGGTGTGGTGCGGTGTGGGATGGATCGTTGGTGCAGTGCGATGAGCCATGGATAGTGGGTGTGGTGCGGTGCAGGATGGATCGTTGGTACGGTGCGGTGAGCCATGGATAGTGGGTGTGGTGCGGTGTGGGGTGGATCGTTGGTGCGGTGGGGTGAAGAATGGATAGTGGGTGTGGTGCGGTATGGGATGGATCGTTTGTGCGGTGCGGTGAAGAATGGTTCGTGGGTGTGGTGCGGTGTGGGGTGGATCGTTGGTGCGGTGCGATGAGCCATGGATAGTGGGTGTGGTGCGGCGCGGTGTAGGATGGATCGTTGGTGCGGTGCGGTGAAGAATGGATAGTGGTCGTGGTGCGGTGTGGGATGGATCGTTGGTGCGGTGCGGTGAAGAATGGTTCGTGGGTGTGGTGTGGTGAGCGATGGATCGTGGGTGTGGTGCCGGGTGAGCCATGGATCGAGGGTACGGTGCGGTGCGGGATGGATCGTTGATGCGGTGCCGGATGAGGAATGGTTCGCGGGGGTGGTGCGATGAGCGATGGATAGTGGGTACGGTGCGGTGCAGGATGGATCGTTGGTGCGGTGAGGAATGGTTTGTGGGTGTGGTGCGGTGCGGTGTGGTGCGGTGAGTGATGGATCATGCATACGGTGGGGTGAGGATGGATCGTTGGTGTGGTACGGTGAGAATGGTTCATGGGTGTGGTGCGGTGAGAGAGAGATGGATCCATGGATCACACAGGTGTGCGGTGTGAGGATGGATCCACGGGTGTGGTATGGTGAATGTGAAGTGTGGATCACGGGTGGGAGGATGGTGAATGATGGATCGTGGGGATGCAGGTGTGGTGAGGTGAGGATGGATCACTGGTGTGGTGCAGTGAGGATGGATCGTTGGTGCGGTGTGGTGAGGATGGATCACTGGTGTGGTTCAGTTAGGGATGGATCGTGGGTACTCTGCGGTGAGGGATGGATAGTGGGTGTGGTGTGGTGAGGGATGGATCACTGGTGTGGTGCGGTGCGGTGGGGGATGGATCGTGGGTACTTTGCGTTGAGGATGGATCGTGGGTACGGTGCGGTGAGGAATGGTTCGTGGGTGTGGTGCGGTGAGAGATGGATCACGGGTGGGGTGCAGTGAGGGAGGGATCACGGGTGCGGTGCGGTGAGGATGGATCACGGGTGTGGCATGGTGAGTGATGGATCACGGGTGTGGTGCGGTGAGTGATGGATCGTGGGTGTGATACGGTGAGGATGGATCATGGGTGTGGTGCAGTGAGTATTGGATTACAGGTGCAGAATGGTTGGTGGGTGTGGTGCAGTGAGCGATGGATCGTTGAGGTACGTTGCAGTGCAGGATGGATCATGGGGTATTAGTGGTGCAGTGCAGGATGGATCGTTGCTGCAAGCCATGAGGAAATGGTTCGTGGGTGTGGTGCAGTGAGAGATGGACCACAGGTGCGGTCTGCAGTGAGATGGATCACAGGTGCGGTGTGGTGAGGATGGATGATGGATCCACAGAGTGCGGTATGGTGAGTGATGGATCATTAGGAGTGCAGTGTGGTAGTGATGGATGGACATGGGTGTGGTGTGGTGAGTGATGGATCGTGGGTGCAGTGTGGTGAGCAATGGATCATGGGTGTGGTGTGGTGAGTGATGGATCATGGGTGCGGTGTGGTGAGTGATGGATCATGGGTGCGGTGTGGTGAGTGATGGATCATGGGTACTGTGTGGTGAGTGATGGATCATGGGTGCGGTGTGGTGAGTGATTGATCATGGGTGCGGTGTGGTGAGCGATGGATCACGGGTGCGGTCTGATGAGTGATGGATCGTATGTACTGTGTAGTGAGTGATGGATCACTGGTGCGGTGTGGTGAGCGATGGATCATGGGTGCGGTGTGGTGAGCGATTGATCATTGGCACTGTGTGGTGAGTGATGGATCATGGGTGTGGTGTGGTGAGTGATGGATCATGGGTGTGGTGTTGTGTGTGATGGATCACGGGTGCGGTGTGGTGAGTGATGGATCACTGGTGTGGTGTGGTGAGCGATGGATCATGGGTGTGGTGTGGTGAGCGATGGATCGCGGGTGCGGTATGATGAGTGATGGATCATGGGTGCGGTGTGGTGAGTGATGGATCATGGGTACTGTGTGGTGAGCGATGGATCATGGGTACTGTGTGGTGAGTGATGGATCACAGGTGTGGTGTGGTGAGCGATGGATCATGGGTGCGCTGTGGTGAGCGATGGATCGTGGGTACGGTGTGGTGAGTGATGGATCACGGGTGTGGTGTGGTGAGCGATGGATCGTGAGTACTGTGTGGTGAGTGATGGATCACGGGTGCGGTGTGATGAGTGATGGATCACGGGTGTGGTGTGGTGAGCGATGGATCGTGGGTGTGGTGTGGTGAGTGATGGATCACTGGTGCGGTGTGATGAGTGATGGATCGTGGGTGTGGTGCGGTGCAGGATGGATCGTGGGTGTGGTGTGGTGAGTGATGGATCACTGGTGCGCTGTGATGAGTGATGGATCACGGGTGTGGTGCGGTGCAGGATGGATCGTGGGTGTGGTGTGGTGCAGGATGGATCGTGGGTGTGGTTTGGTGCAGGATGGATCGTGGGTGTGGTTTGGTGCAGGATGGATCGTGGGTGTGGTGCGGTGAGTGATGGATGACGGGTGTGGTGTGGTGAGTGATGGATCGTGGGTACGGTGTTGTGAGTGATGGATCACTGGTGTGGTGTGGTGAGTGATGGATCGCGTGTGTGGTGTGGTGAGCAATGGACCCTGGGTGTGGTGTGGTGAGTGATGGATCGTTGGTGCGGTGTGGTGGGTGATGGATCGTGGGTCCGGTGTGGTGAGTGATGATGGATCGTGGGTACTGTGTGATGAGTGATGGATCATGGGTGCGGTGTGGTGAGCGATGGATCACGGGTGCGGTGTGGTGAGCGATGGATCGTAGGTACTGTGTTGTGAGTGATGGATCACGGGTGCGGTGTGGTGAGCGATGGATCACGGGTGCGGTGTGGTGAGTGATGGATCATGGGTACTGTGTGGTGAGTGATGGATCATCGGTGCGGTGTGGTGAGTGATGGATCATGGGTGCAGTGTGGTGAGCGATGGATCACGGGTGCGGTGTGGTGAGTGATGGATCGTGGGTACTGTGTAGTGAGTGATGGATCACGGGTGCGGTGTGGTGAGTGATGGATCAAGGGTACTGTGTGGTGAGTGATGGATCACGGGTGCAGTGTGTGATGAGTGATTGATCATGGGTGTTTGTGTGGTAGTGATGGATCACGGGTGCGGTGTGATGAGTGATGGATCGTGGGTGTCGTGTGGTGGGTGATGGATCACGGGTGCGGTGTGGTGAGTGATGGATCACTGGTGTGGTGTGGTGAGTGATGGATCGTGGGTGTGGTGTGGTGAGTGATGGATCACGGGTGTGGTGTGGTGAGCGATGGATCGTGGCTGGGGTGAACAATTCATGTTGATGTTACGGGATACGGCACAAAAAAGATGTCTCTGTAGTTTTGTTGGCCTTCAATATCTAAATGCTGTTGCGTGTAAGCAATTCCCAGGGTGGTATTTCAAGACACCGGGACCACAATGATGTCTTACTATCAAGTACTGTACAGTTTCATATATGGTGTCATCTGTGTTACAGGCGTCGTCATCATGCTGGACTTCAGCGGTGGGCTGGGAGACCGGACGACCGTGGAAAAGGGTACCCTGCTTCTCTACGTCAGTTCTACCGCTTTCATCAACAGTCTCGTTAATCCTATAATTTACGCCTTTAAAATCACAACGGTGCGCCTACGTTTCAGGGCACTGTTTTGTCGGAAATCTCCAAGGCCAGACGATATGGACAACAGTCAGACGGAAGCGTCAGGATATGTAGCCCCGAAAACACGGCCTACCTTCGTTGTGACTTCGGGTATTTCCGAAGTCGATCTCACTGAGTGAAAGTACGTCATGTGATCAGAACAAACATCAAACGGAAATGCTACGTGATATTACAATTGAATAGGCGTTCATGTTCCAAGAACACGGTACGACGCACATCAAGCGCAAAGACTAAAAACCCACAGCCTTCAACGTTTAGTAATTTTAATGTGCCCCACGCATGTCCAATGGGTTTTTTAAGCGCACATGATAGATATTGTGATATTGTGCTGTGAAATACTGGTGAGGAGACTGCAGGCTTCTAGGGAAACGTGCCCTCGTAAAGCTCGTGTACTGCGACCACACCCATCTGTGATCCCACTGCCAGCAGGAGCGTCTGGCCAGCTTTGCTCACAACAAACCTGAAACAGTGAGATGTGGTAAAATGTGAGGTGTGGCAAAATGTGAGGTGAAACAGCGAGATGTGACACAATATGAGGTGAAACAGTGAGATGTGACACAATGTGAGGTGAAACAGTGAGATGTGACACAATATGAGGTGAAACAGCGAAATGTGACACAATATGAGGTGAAACAGTGAGATGTGACACAATGTGAGGTGAAACAGTGAGATGTGACACAATATGAGGTGAAACAGTGAGATGTGACACAATATGAGGTGAAACAGTGAGATGTGACACAATGTGAGGTGAAACAGTGAGATGTGCCACAATATGAGGTGAAACAGTGAAATGAGATACAATATGATCTGAAACAGTGAGGTGAGACACAATATGAGGTGAAACAGTGAGATGAGACACAATATGAGGTGAAACAGTGAGATGTGACACAATGTGAGGTGAAACAGTGAAATGAGACACAATATGAGGTGAAACAGTGAGATGTGACACAATGTGAGGTGAAACAGTGAAATGAGATACAATATGATCTGAAACAGTGAGGTGAGACACAATATGAGGTGAAACAGTGAGATGAGACACAATATGAGGTGAAACAGTGAGATGTGACACAATGTGAGGTGAAACAGTGAGATGAGACACAATATGAGGTGAAACAGTGAGATGTGACACAATATGAGGTGAAAGAGTGAGATGAGACACAGTATGAGGTGAAACAGTGAGATGTGACACAATGTGAGGTGAAACAGTGAAATGAGATACAATATGAAGTGAAACAGTGAGATGTGACACAATGTGAGGTGAAACAGTGAAATGTGACACAATATGAGGTGAAACAGTGAAATGTGACACAATATGAGGTGAAACAGTGAGATGTGACACAATATGAGGTGAAACAGTGAGATGAGACACAATATGAGGTGAAACAGTGAGATGTGACACAATGTGAGGTGAAACAGTGAAATGAGATACAATATGAGCTGAAACAGTGAGGTGATACACAATATGAGGTGAAACAGTGAGATGAGACACAATGTGAGGTGAAACAGTGAAATGAGATACAATATGATCTGAAACAGTGAGGTGAGACACAATATGAGGTGAAACAGTGAGATGAGACACAATATGAGGTGAAACAGTGAGATGTGACACAATGTGAGGTGAAACAGTGAAATGAGATACAATATGATCTGAAACAGTGAGGTGAGACACAATATGAGGTGAAAGAGTGAGATGAGACACAATGTGAGGTGGCATTATAGTGAGTTTCGATATGAGGTGGCACGATGACAAATGAAACAGAGAAGTGAAACAGTTAGAAATGAGTTCAAGGACGCGGTATACATTGACAAAAATGGAGAGAACGGAACAGGACTGCACAGTGCATCTTGGAATAATTAGCAACAATATGAAGCTGAGGTGACTTGGTCCGACTTGAGCTACTCACTTCAGGTCGTTGATAAAGGGTGTCCCAGCTTCGGCGGAGTCGTAAAGTTGACCCCAGTTACCGTTATTGTCTCCCAGTCGGTTGTAGCTCTGGAATTCGCCCTGAGGAAAGCCTGGAGCCTCAGATTCGCCAAGTCTGTATATGAATATCGCGCCCATACGTCCGCTCCCTACAGCCACAATCTGATCGCTGCCGAAAAGCGTTGTGGCAATAGCCTTTGGTTCTGGACCCTGGAAATCGTCATGACATTACATCATGTTTCAATATGGCGTCAAAAAGCCAATTAGCTGTTCTTGCAGTTGAGACTGATGTTGTAAAAATGTGGTAACAAAGCTCTGATATATCTAAATCGGTTAATTTATGATTTCTTTATTTACTTTACAGAGCAAATTAGAACGTTCATATTAACTTTATACACACAGCCTCTTCATAACTTGTTTGTTTGTGATATTCAGTCCACAGCAACGTACTATATTGGAGAATGTATGATCTCTTGCAAGTATGGCTCATGTGTCGTATAAAACCTTTTCTCTCCCCTTCCTTTAAAAATCCCCATATATTTACTTTAGGGACCGTTCATAATTTATGGCTAAGGGGGGTGGGGGTGGGTGATGATGATTTTAAAGGGGGGACACCCATTTTGTTGTGGGGAGCTGGGGGTCAGCAATTTTGTACATAAAATATTTTAAAATTATGCATAGAAATTATGTAAAAGGGGTGGTTGATTTTGCACATGACATTCAGGGGTCACTTATTTTGTATATAAATTTTAGGGGGTCATTCACATTGTACATGCTTCTCCTAAAATCATCATCAACCATCCCGCCACCCCCACCCCTAGCAATAAATTATGAACGGTCCCTTATATTGAATGGCATTGATAGATAATGGCAAAGATATTAACCTTATCATCTGAACGGGTATCAAGTGCCTGTGGAGGTGATTGGTTGATAGAGGTGCAATCACCATTAAAGACAGAACCATTGTATAGCTGCGCTTCATACTCAAGGTCGCTCCCGCTGTCCCACTGCTGGGCCCCACTGCTGGCGTCCCAAAGCGACCAACTACGACCGCCATATGCATAGAATGTACTGAAATAGCCATAGATGGGATTCCAACCATCGGTCTCAGTCTGCAGATTGCTCACATACAGGCGACCTGGGAATGGAAAAAGCCAGTGTCACCCACTTCCCTTAACTCTAACCTCCACATCACTGGTTATCGTCATATAAACCTGAAGGGTGCTTCTCACTATATACCAAGCATCTCTTGTTTTCCCGGAATAACCGCATTTCAGGTTTTTGTTCGCTCTCAGGTTTTACTTTTTGTAAGTAAGACCTCTTCCCTGGTTTTACTTTTTGTAAGTAAGACCTCTTCCCAGGTTTTACTTTTTGTAATTATTTTTTCCTAACTCAAAATGAATATCAACATTCAAATAATATATGAGTGTTTGAAATCAATTGAAAAATATCGCCCGAGATCAATTTCAAAGTGCAAATGTTTTCTCTCAAGCAAAATTGGAACCGTATCTTACAGAGCAGACGCTCTACCTCACGGCCACCGAGCCGACATAGAAGTTGGGGTTAAATTATCTTTTTGTAGTTACTGTCATTAAATTGATTTTACTTGCGCTTCAGTTATTGTTATGTAGCTTCATTAAATGATCATCTACATTATAATTATCCATCACTGATGGTTTATATGTTAGGGAAAACACTTCCCCTCGGTTTTGGTAGAGAATGTAAAACTTTTGGAAGAGGGATTTCCCTCCATCGGTTTTACATTCTCTACCAAAACCTCGGGGGCGTGTTTTCTCCTATACATCCATCCCCCTCAACACAGATATCAAACTCACAATTTAATGTTAACCAATCCTCCACAACACTCATCCTTAACACCACTGACCTAATGTCACACTATCTACCAACTTACCATAATACCCTTGACCTAATGTCACCCATCTACCAACACACCATAACACCCTGACCTAATGTCACCCATCTACCAACTCACCATAACACCCTGACCTAATGTCACCCTATCTACCAACTCAACATAACACCCTGACCTAATGTCACCTATCTACCAACTCACCATAACACCCTGACCTAATGTCACCCTATCTACCAACACACCATAACACCTGACCTAATGTCAACACAATTATACCCACCCTGACCTACCAACTACACTATAACACTTAACACCCTGACCTAATGTCACCCTATACCAACACTCTACCAACTCACCCCATCTACCAACTCACCCTGACCTAATGTCACCCTATCTACCAACTCAACATAACACCCTGACCTAATGTCACCCATCTACCAACACCATAACACCCTGATAACACCCCAACTCAATGACCCTAATGTCAATCTACCAACACACCATAACACTACCTAATGCCACCCTATCTACCAACTCAAACACCCTGACCTAATGTCACCCATCTACCAACTCACCATAACACCCTGACCTAATGTCACCCATCTACCAACACACCATAACACCCTGACCTAATGTCACCCAACATCTACCAACAACACACCATAACACCCTGACCTAATGTCACCCATCTACCAACTCACCATAACACCCTGACCTAATGTCACCCATCTACCAACTTCACACCATAACACCCTGACCTAATGTCACCCATCTACCAACTCACACACCCCTGACCTAATGTAACACCCTGACCTAATGTCACCCTATCTACCAACTCAACATAACACCCTGACCTAATGTCACCCATCTACCAACTCAACATAACACCAACTGACCTAATGTCACCCTATCTACCAACACACCATAACACCCTGACCTAATGTCACCCATCTACCAACTCAACATAACACCCTGACCTAATGTCACCCTATCTACCAACTCAACATAACACCCTGACCTAATGTCACCCATCTACCAACTCAACATAACACCCTGACCTAATGTCACCCTATCTACCAACACACCATAACACCCTGACCTAATGTCACCCATCTACCAACTCAACATAACACCCTGACCTAATGTCACCCATCTACCAACTCAACATAACACCCTGACCTAATGTCACCCTATCTACCAACTCACCATAACCACCCTGACCTAATGTCACCCTATCTACCAACTCAACATAACACCCTGACCTAATGTCACCCATCTACCAACTCAACATAACACCCTGACCTAATGTCACCCATCTACCAACTCACCATAACACCCTGACCTAATGTCACCCTATCTACCAACTCAACATAACACCCTGACCTAATGTCACCCTACCATCTACCAACTCAACCATAACACCCTGACCTAATGTCACTATCTATCTACCAACTCACCATAACACCCTGACCTAATGTCACCCCATCTATCTACCAACTCAATGTCATAACAACCCTGACCTAATGTCACCCATCTACCAACTCAACATAACACCCTGACCTAATGTCACCCTATCTACCAACTCAACATAACACCCTGACCTAATGTCACCCTATCTACCAACTCAACATAACACCCTGACCTAATGTCACCCTATCTACCAACTCAACATAACACCCTGACCTAATGTCACCCATCTACCAACTCAACATAACACCCTGACCTAATGTCACCCATCTACCAACTCAACCATAACACCCTGACCTAATGTCACCCATCTACCAACTCAACATAACACCCTGACCTAATGTCACCCATCTACCAACTCAACATAACACCCTGACCTAATGTCACCCATCTACCAACTCAACATAACACCCTGACCTAATGTCACCCTATCTACCAACTCAACATAACACCCTGACCTAATGTCACCCTATCTACCAACTCAACATAACACCCTGACCTAATGTCACCCTATCTACCAACTCAACATAACACCCTGACCTAACACTACCTGACCTAATGTCACCCTATCTACCAACTCAACATAACACCCTGACCTAATGTCACCCTATCTACCAACTCAACATAACACCCTGACCTAATGTCACCCATCTACCAACTCACCATAACACCCTGACCTAATGTCACCCTATCTACCAACTCAACATAACACCCTGACCTAATGTCACCCTATCTACCAACTCAACATAACACCCTGACCTAATGTCACCCTATCTACCAACTCAACATAACACCCTGACCTAATGTCACCCTATCTACCAACTCAACATAACATCCCTGACCTAATGTCATCCCTGAACGTAACACCCATCTACCAACTCAACATAACACCCCTGACCTAATGTCACCCTATCTACCAACTCACCTCCACCTCAACCAACACCACATTGTGATTTAATACGTAACACGATACAAACAACTTGCTAACAACTTCAAACAAAGGTGATTGCAAATTGTCTTCATTGATTAATTCCAAGATGATTTAATTGTTTGAGACAATTTGTAATGGGCATTGTAAACGCCGCTGACATGCCTTGTTATGTTATGAGCACATCGTCACTCACCCAGTGCAGCATTTGAGCCTAAGTCAGCAACAAGGCCAGAATCCAAGCTCGGGTCAAAGAGAGTAGCTGTAAACAGGAACATTCGTACTGAACATCCTTCAAGTAACACGTTTGAGAAAACTCTCCAACTCCACTCCACGCAAAAACCTTGAAGATGTACACTTAAAATAAACAAATATATTTGTCTTACTTTCTCTCTGTGTCTTCCCTCCTTTTCTCTCTGTCTCGCTCTCTTCGTCTCTCCTCCCCCTCTCTCTTCTCTCTCGCGCTCTTTCTTTCTTCTTACCCTCTCTCTCCTTCCCTCCATCCCTCTCTCTTATTCTCTCTCGCTCTTTTTGTATCTCTTCCCTCCCTCCATCTCTCTGTCGTTCTCTCCGCCTCTCGATCGTTCTCTCTCCCTCACTTGTCTCTGTTCCCCCTCTCACTCATTCTCTCCCTCTCTTCTCCCTCTCTCTCTCTCTTCTCCCCCTCTCCCTCTCCCTCCCTCCCTCTCTCTCTCTCTCTTACGATCAACGGTACTGGCTCTGATGGCTTCTGTAAAGTCAACCCCTTCCACGGCTGTGGTATAGCGCTTGACGGCACCAGTGTTCGCCGTCGCAAGAAACACGTTGCCACCGAAGTTAAGTGAGGTGATTGCGCCTGGTTGATAGAAGCTACGAATGTTGCGCCTCACCATATTTATTCTGTCTGGACTGATACCTACAACCAACAACATATATCTTACTTTTAGCCCACTTTTGTATCACGTAATGTAATGTGTCCTGGTGTTAGACCACGTGTATCTATTTTCATTTTTTATCAGATCACGTATGCGTATATCGTGTTAAGTGTCACGTGGTACAGTCCCGGCGTAAACTGTCAAATAACGTCATGTTTAGTGCTTGCTGGCAGTCCGCGAGTTTATATATATTCATGTGACGTCAAGTTAAGTGTTTAGTGGTACCTATTTTACAGTGGCATGTGCCAAGTGTGCATTGCCAGGTGACGTCACACCATGTTTAGTATTATGTATTACTCATTAATATTATCGTGCTAGATTTCATATGTGTATATTCATGTGACATGTTTTTCCAAAAATAGTTTATTCTAAATGAATATCATTTTCATCAATTTTCAGTTCATCAATAAAAGGTGTTTAGAATGAGAAAAAGAATATTTATTTAAAAGGTGACACAGATGTATGTACAATAGTGGTGGTATGACACAGATGTATGTACAATAGTGGTGGTATGACACAGATGTATGTGCAGTAGTGGCGGTATGACACAGATGTACATACAGTAGTGGTGGTATGACACAGATGTATGTACAGTAGTGGTGGTATGACATAGATGTGTGTACAGTAGTAGTGGTATGATAGATGCACGTACAGTAGGGGTGGTATGACACAGATGTATGCACAATAGTGGTGGTATGACACAGATGTATGCACAATAGTGGTGGTATGACATAGATGTATGTACAGTAGTGGTGGTATGACACAGATGTATGTACAGTAGTGGTGGTATGACACAGATGTATGCACAATAGTGGTGGTATGACACAGATGTATGTACAGTAGTGGTGGTATAACAGTGGTGTACAGTATGGTGGTATAACACAGATGTACGTACAGTAGTGGTGGTATAACACAGATGTATGTACAGTAGTCGTGGTATAATAGATGTATGTACAGTAGTGGTGGTATAACACAGATGTATGTACAGTAGTACGTACAGTAGTGGTGGTATGACATAGATGTACGTACAGTAGTGGTGGTATGACATAGATGTACGTACAGAAGTGGTGGTATGACACAGATGTACGTACAGTAGTGGTGGTATGACATAGATGTACGTACAGTAGTGGTGGTATGACACATATGTACGTACAGTAGTGGTGGTATAACACAGATGTACGTACAGTAGTGGTGGTATAACACAGATGTATGTACAGTAGTGGTGGTATGACACAGATGTACGTACGAGTAGTGGTGGTATGACACAGATGTACATACAGTAGTGGTGGTATGACACAGATGTACGTACAGTAGTGGTGGTATGACACAGATGTATGTACAGTAGTGGTGGTATGACACAGATGTATGTAGAGTGGTCGTGGTATGATAGATGCACGTACAGTAGTGGTGGTATGACACAGATGTATGCACAATAGTGGTGATATGACACAGATGTATGTGCAGTAGTGGCGGTATGACACAGATGTATGTACAATAGTGGTGGTATGACACAGATGTATGTGCAGTAGTGGTGGTATGACACAGATGTACATACAGTAGTGGTGGTATGACACAGATGTACGTAAAGTAGTGGTGGTATGACACAGATGTATGTACAGTAGTGGTGGTATGACACAGATGTATGTAGAGTAGTCGTGGTATTACACAGATGTATGTACAGTAGTGGTGGTATGACACAGATGTACGTACAGTAGTGGTGGTATGACATAGATGTATGTACAGTAGTCGTGGTATTACACAGATGTGCGTACAGTAGTGGTGGTATAACACAGATGTATGTACAGTAGTGGTGGTATAACACAGATGTACGTACAGTAGTGGTGGTATGACACAGATGTACGTACAGTAGTGGTGGTGTGACACAGATGTACAGTAGTGCACAATGTAGTGGTGGTATGACATAGATGTATAGTACAGTAGTGGTGGTATGGTGGTGGTATGACAGATGTACGTACAGTAGTGGTGGTATGACACATGTACGTACAGTAGTGGTGGTATAACTACACAGATGGTATGTACACAGATGTACGTACAGTAGTGGTGGTATGACACAGATGTACGTACAGTAGTGGTGGTATGACATATGTACGTACAGTAGTGGTGGTATGTACAGTGAGATGTACGTACAGTAGTGGTGGTATGACACAGATGTATGTACAGTAGTGGTGGTATATGATAGATGTACGTACAGTAGTGGTGGTATGACACAGATGTACGTACAGTAGTGGTGGTATGATGACAGATGTACGTACAGTAGTGGTGGTATGACATAGATGTACGTACAGTAGTCGTGGTATGACACAGATGTACGTACAGTAGTGGTGGTATAACACAGATGTACGTACAGTAGTGGTGGTATGACATAGATGTACGTACAGTAGTGGTGGTATGACACAGATGTACGTACAGTAGTGGTGGTATGACACATATGATGTACGAACAGTAGTGGTGGTATGACATAGATGTATGTACAGTAGTCGTGGTATAACACAGATGTACGTACAGTAGTCGTGGTATAACACAGATGTATGTACAGTAGTCGTGGTATAACACAGATGTACGTAGATGTACGTACAGTAGTGGTGGTATGACACAGATGTACGTACAGTAGTCTTGGTATGATACAGATGTATGTACAGTAGTCGTGGTATGACACAGATGTATGTACAGTAGTGGTGGTATGACACAGATGTACGTACAGTAGTGGTGGTATGACATAGATGTATGTACAGTAGTCGTGGTATTACACAGATGTACGTACAGTAGTGGTGGTATAACACAGATGTACGTACAGTAGTGGTGGTATGACACAGATGTACGTACAGTAGTGGTGGTATGACAGATGTACGTACAGTAGTGGTGGTATGTCATAGATGTATGTACAGTAGTGGTGGTATGACACAGATGTATGTACAGTAGTGGTGGTATTACACAGATGGACGTACAGTAGTGGTGGTATAACACAGATGTATGTACAGTAGTTGTGGTATGACTTAGATGTACGCACAGAAGTTCGGTACGTACAGAACTTCGGTATGACACAGAACTTACTTTGATCCTGATCACTGGTGTCGATGTCAAAGTTGTTCCAGTCCTTCGTCCCCAGGCTGTAGATGTCCACCCCACCTACCAGGTTGTTCAGGTTAAAGATTGCCAGCGCATTATTCTCCTGAAGATACACGATTATTGTACGTTAAAAACCTTGAAACGGCCGTGTTTTATTTCCTCGGTTGAAATATGGGCGGAAATATTCTGAATTATATGACATGTCAAGGTAACTTCAAATAACATATCATGGTAGGAATATCTATACAATATCATTATGTGTGGTTTGAACATGTTAGCATACAGAAAGTGTGCTTTAGATATATAACATGTTCGAATGTCAGCGTATACCAACCATGAGTGTGACGTACACCATGTTGTTGTCGTCAATGGTGATGTCACTAGGCTCAAGGTCGTTGACAACAGAGTGCTGTGCATTGTTGGCGTCACGGAAGACGTAGCGAGCAGTTTGTAGCCCACGTGCGGACCTACCAATGTAGTGTTGGAAAACAATAGTACCATGTACCATGTAATGACGTGAACAATATATTGTGGGGACATTCTGTCAGACAGACACAAGCACTTTGATAGAGACACACCGATACAGTGAAGGCAAACAAATAGACCCACCGACAGAAAGCTGACAGAGACGTACAGACTCCAGCATCCTCCCTTCTATATATAATGTCTCAATACATTGTTTCCCATGCTGGATTACTGTATCTATTCCAGAAGCTTCCAAATAAACACCCACTATAAATATATTAACTAGTACACCATGTACACAATGTACACCAGTACACCATATATATATTAACTAGCACACTATCTACACCAGTACACCATGTACACATGAACACTAGTACACCAAGTACACTAGTACACAATAATGTACAAGTACACTAGTACGCCAGTACACCATGTATACTACGCCATTACACTATGAACACTAAGTACACTAGTACGCACACTACACTAGTACACCAAGTACACTAGTACGCCATGTACACTAGTACGCCAAGTGTACACACTAGTACGCCAAATACACTAGTACGCCATGTACACTAATACGCCAGTACACAAGTAGTACACCACAGCGCCATACACTAAGTACACCAAGTACACTAGTACACCAAGTTGCACTAGTACGCTAATTACACTAGTACACCAGTACGCTAGTACACCAAGTACACTAGTACACCATGTACACTAGTACGCCAAGTACACTAGTACACACTAATGTACACCATGTACACTAGTACGCCATGCACTAGTACGCTAGTACACCAAGTACAAGTACTAGTATGCCATGTACACACTAGTACACCATGTACACTACTACGCTGTACACCAGTACACCAGTACACCAAGTACACCAAGTACACTAGTACGCCACTGCAGTACATAATGTACACTATGTACACTATGTACACCAAGTACGCCACACAATATGTACACTAGTACACCAGTACACCATGTACACCAAGTACACCATGTACACTAGTACACTATGTACACTATTACACCATGTACACCAATTACACCATGTACACTAGTACATTAGTACACCATGTACACCAAGTACACCAAGTACACTATGTACATTAGTACACTATGTACACTATTACACCATGTACACCAATTACACAATGTACAATAGTACATTAGTACACCATGTATACCAAATACACTATGTACACTATGTAAACCAAGTACACCATGTATCTAGTACACCATGTACACCAAGTGCACCTTGTGAGGTGAGGTGAGGTAAAATTGGGTTTTGCGTCGTGCTTGAGAATATACACATGCGCGTGTATGTGTATGTGCGGCAGCTTGTACTAGCCCAGACTTAAGCTGGTTTTATAGTGTTAACCCACTGAGATACCATGCCGCAGTGAAGCAGGAATGCCCCACTCAGACACATTATACTGACTCCGAGCCGACCAGTCCTTGTTGTACCCATTAATGCCGAGCGCCAGGCAGGGACCAACAAGTACCATATTTAAACGTCTTTTGGTATGACGCGGTCGGGGATCGAACCCGCGACCTTCCGCTCTCCGGGCGGACGCTCTAACCACTACACCAAGGAGGCGGTCAAGTACATCTTATACACTAGGTTGCTGCTTAAGTCACGATATCAATTTAGCTGGAAAACATGGAATCCAAATGTACCCAGATCTTGTAGAAGTCCTAATGCTCCTTTTTGATGACGACGTTATTTTAGTTTCGGATACTGTGGTCGGTTTACAAAATCAATTAAATATCTTAGAAAGTTATACTAAAGAATGGAAGTTAGCAGTAAATTTAAGCAAAACAGAAATTGTGATATTTAGGAGGGGCGGTCCCGTGGCCACAAACGAACGCTGGTTTTATGATGGTCAGTTGATTAATATATCCGATCAATATTCTTACTTAGGGTTTTTGTTTTCAAACAGAATGAACTTGAATAAATGTGCACATAACTTAACTTTACGTTGAAAAAAGGCTTTAATTCAAGTTTTTCGGTTTTATACAAAGTTGGAACTATGTCACCCAATGTGTTTTTTAAGATATTTAATTCTCAGATTCAACCCATTTTATTATATGGATCTGACATATGGGGTTTTCAGCGTTTGGATTGTATTGAGAGAGTGCATCTTTTAGCCTGTAAAAAGTACCTCAATGTAAGCTCAATGTATATCAATTCTCAAATAGGATGTTTAAAATATTGGTTTAAGGTTCTAAATATGCACGAACAACGTCTGCCAAAATTAGCTTACAATATGCTTTTAAATCTGGATAATTTGGGAAAACACACTTGGGTAACTGATATCAGAAATTGATTATTTTCTCACGGTTTCGGTTTCGTATGGTTGAGCCAAACAATTGGCGATGTGAACTGGTTTATTAATGAATTTCGTGTTAGATCAATAGATATGTTCAATCAAGAATGGAAATCCACCCTAGATTCAAGCTCACGATATGAATATTACAGGACCTTTAAAACGTTACTCCAGCCAGAAAAATACTTATCAATAATTACAACATATAGTTTAAGAACAATGTCGTAAAGTATCGTTAAGGTTTATTATCTTTAATGATTAATGAGGGTAGAAAAACCTCTGTCCAGAAGAAAGTCGATATTGTCCTTTATGTAATGTTGGAATAGAAAATGAAATTCATTTTACCCTGATATGTCCTTGTTATCACGAATTAAGACAGAAATATATACCGCACCATCTTCTTGCAAAGCAGCCCCATTATGCATATATATCTTTGTTACAAACCAATAATGAAAATATTCTTGGTCAATTGTCCTTATATATAAAATATGCATTAGCTAAAAGAGATCTTCTTATAAAGCGAATTGTATACCCTTAAATATATATGTAAATATCCAGAATATTCCTTTATCACTGTAACTCTCATGTATATGGGCCGGAGGCCTTTCATACAATAAACATCTTTTGACTTTGACTATGTACAGTAGTACACTATGTACACTGGTACACCATGTACTCCTTGTACACTAGTACACTATATACACTAGTACACCATGTACACCACGTACATTAGTAAACCATGTACCCTAGTACACCATGTACACCACGTACACCATGAACTCTAGTACACCATGTACACAATGTAAACCATGTAAACCATGTACACCATGTACCCTAGTGCACCATGTACGCTAGTACACCATGTACCCTAGTACACCATGTACACCATGTACCCTAGTACACCATGTACACCATGTACCCTAGTACACCATGTACACCATGTTCACCATGTACACCATGTACACCATGTACACCATGTTCCCTTGTACACCTTGTACACCATGTACACCATGTACACCATGTACACCATGTACCCTAGTACACCATGTTCACAATGTTCACTATGAACACCATGTACACCATGTACACCATGTACACCATGTACACCATGTTCACCATGTACACCATGTACACCATGTACACCATGTACACCATGTACACCATGTTCACCATGTACACCATGTATGTACACCATGTACACCATGTTCACCATGTTCACCATGTACACCATGTACACCATGTTCACACCATGTACACCATGTTCACACCATGTACACCATGTACACCATGTATGCACACCATGTACACCATGTACACCATGTACACCATGTACACCATGTACACCATGTACACCATGTTCACCATGTACACCATGTTCACCATGTACACCATGTACCATGTACCATGTACCATGTTCACCACATGTACACCATGTACACCATGTACACCATGTTCACCATGTACACCATGTGTTCACCATGTTCACCATGTACACCATGTACACCATGTACACCATGTGCACAATGTACACCATGTTCACCATGTACACCATGTACACCATGTACACCATGTACACCATGTTCACCATGTACACCATGTTCACCATGTACACCATGTACACCATGTACACCATGTTCACCATGTACACCATGTACACCATGTTCACCATGTACACCATGTACACCATGTTCACCATGTACACCATGTTCACCATGTTCACCATGTTCACCATGTACCCACCATGTACACCATGTACACCATGCACACCATGTTCACACCATGTTCACCATGTACCATGTTCACCATGTTCACCATGTACACCATGTACACCATGTACACCATGTACACCATGTACACCATGTTCCTTGTACACCATGTACACCATGTTCCCCATGTACACCATGTACACCATGTACCCTAGTACACCATGTACACCATGTACCCTTGTACACCATGTACACCATGTACCCTATGTACACACGATGTACACCATGTACCCTAGTACACAACGTACACCATGTACACCATGTACCCTAGTACACCATGTACACCATGTTCACCATGTTCACCATGTATACCTTGTACACCTTGTACACCATGTACACCATGTACCCTTGTACACCATGTACCTTTGTACACTATGTACCCTAGTACACCATGTTCACCATGTTCACCATGTTCACCATGTACACCTTTTACACCATGTACACCATGTAAACCATGTACACCAAGTTCTACCATGTTCACCATGTACACCATGTACCCTAGTACACCATGTACACCATGTACCCTTGTACACCATGTACACCATGTACCTTTGTACACTATGTACACCATGTACCCTAGTACACCATGTACACCATGTTCACCATGTACACCATGTACCCTAGTACACCATGTACACCATGTTGTACACCATGTACACATGTACCATGTACACCATGTACACCATGTACAATTCATGTACACCATGTACACCATGTACACCATGTACACCATGTACACCATGTACACCATGTACACCATGTACACCATGTACACCATGTTCACCATGTACACCATGTACACCATGTACACCATGTACACCATGTACACCATGTACACCATGTACACCATGTACACCATGTTCACCATGTACACCATGTACCCTAGTACACCATGTA